CAATCATCTGCTCACCCAGCTGTGCTGTAGTGACTGTCAAGGCCCTGCTGAAGTCTCCCCGACCTATTGTATTGACTGCTGCAACACGCACATTGTACTCTGTGAAAGGCAGCAAGTCATCGATGGTATACTCAGTGACAGTAATTCCAGCTATTTCTTTGGCAGCACCAGGAGAGGAACTTGGCTCATATTTCAGAACATAGGTCTTAATAGGTTCATCAGTGCCAGCTATCCACTGGACAGTGACTGTATTAGCAGTATGCTGGCTCAATGTTGGCACAGGTGGAGAGTCTGGACGAGCTGTCATTAAAAAGCAAAGAAAACAGAAAACAAGTAGAAAATGTTTACATATTAGTCTCTCTTTCATCTTTGTTTTCGTGTAAGACATCCCACAACCATATGCAAACATAAACCATGTCCTGCAGACAACTTAAATCAACAACATTTAGTCCTAATATGTTTGTTTTTATCACTTGTCAGCTGTCTAAGGCCAAACAAAAATACTTTTGATTTGGGTAACCTGACCGACCCTATTTTTGAAAGCAATAAAATGCGACCCCAAACAATTTTATTGGTTATTTGGAAAAAAAATATTACGATACCGACTTTCGATCAACATTGGTCAAAATCGCCGACCGCCAGAACATTTTATAGGCATTTATCAGCAAGTGTTTTTTTTTCTTTCTGGTATTATCCGAAAGAAAACATCGTGGTCTAACATTAGTTTGTGTGTACTTTAAAAATACGTACGTTGTACCAAAACCGCTTGGGTTCTTCGTCACTTAATCTTCATTGCAACACAGTCCAAAATGTCTGGTCCGTGTGTCTCATGTTCCTTTGTACGTACACACATGTGTGCGAACAGCGCAGTATTGCGTGTCAGGGGAAATCCCCACGGTAATGTCTGTGCCCAACAAGCAATACTATTGGTAGACCGCGAGTTACACGGTCACACTTTCGAGCCTAGGGACGCCATGCATCATGGAAACCGATTTTCGATGAATTTTTTTTTTGAAATTGTGGGACAAATCATGGAAGCAAAGTGTCCTAATGATCCTTTTTTAAACTTAATGCTTTTAGGTTGCTGAAAGCAAGTAATTGTTGATATCGCGTTAGCCAACAGGAAAATTCGTTATGCTATATCATTCCAATGGCCATGTGCGTTGTAGACTTCACATCGATGTAGACTTCACATCGGATCGGACGGCTGCACGTCTTTTGTGGCCTTCGTTCGGCTCTCGTGCACATACGTACACACAAGACTGCAATTTGCTCTAGACATCGGAGAATGTGAACATTTTCAAAAAACAAAAAGGAAATTTCTTCCAGTGAAATCTCAAAATGATATTCAGGGAATTCTTTGCGGAAAAAAAATGGGGAAGTTGACGACGATTTTTCAATTGATATCGCCGCAAGAGGCCAACCTGACGAACCATGGAGAAGCGTAGAGAATGTCAACACGACAGTGGTTGAACCATGTTCCTTATTCTATGGTTAAACTTACAAACTCCTTACAATAAAACATGTCACAAAAATCTGCCCAAAACACCTTGATTGGGGACCACTTAAACATGTATCATTCCTCACATGTATTGGCTCCAGAAAAAAATTAAAATAAAATAAAATGTCATGCCGACCGACCAACCTAATCTTTTCTTCAGTAGGTGTACAGATCTTTACATGCACTGGGAAGGATATTCCACTTTGGCTCAAAACATTTCACAACTCTCTAGAGATTACAAGTAACTAGAGATTGCAGTGTGTAAATATATGTATGTGCAGTTGGATATGTTCCATTTACTTGATGTACCTATGTTGGCTGTTACATTGGTAAACATACAAATAGCGAATAGCTTAATACTAACACAAGAGCTGGTAAAACGCAAGTTCCAAATTACATTCTAACAAAACTGACACTGATTAAAATACATTGCTAACATGATGATATTGACACTATTTTGTACTCACTCCTGACAGTCACTGTTACTGTATGTTCAATCTCTCCAAGGTCACTCATTGCATAACATGTGTACTCTGCAGTCTCCTGTACATTCTTTAAAACCAGGACACTTCTACCCTGGGGAAGAGTATCATCAGGACCACTCAGATCCTCATCACCTTTCATCCACTTAATGACAGGCATTGGGGAACCATTGGCTGCACAGGTAAGGTTCACATTACCACCAGGGACAACTTCTTGCGTCTCAGGGAAAATGGTGAAGCGTGGTGCCACCCGTCTCACTGAAAATTGAATAAAAATGAATAGTAAAATTTCAGTCAATTGACGTGGCAAATTTCACTAATTTTGAAGTATATACTGTATGTATTCAAAAGAATCTACATGTATAATGACAAAAACTAAATACGGGAAACTTCAGTCATAAAAATTAAAGGTTGAAAAGCCGCTTCGCTCAATGCAAAACCAACACAAAAGCCGTCAGGCGCATCTGCTACAAGCCTATTTTGATGATGTCATGCAACATCTCCAATCGGGTGACTGTTTCATTATTTTGTTCCATGCCCAACATGTGTACAATCGTACATGTTTGTACACGTACGTCCGTACACACGGGTGCACACTACACGTAGATATATGCAGTCATCACTGCCTGACGACGTGTCTGGTGTCGAACTAAAGATTGATTATAGAACTGGAGAGTGAAATAGAGCGCAGGGGTTTCAAAATAAGCCGGAAACCGGCGAATTTGACAGGCTATTTAAACTTTTGCGCCGGCTACTTTTTTTCCAATCATGAAAAAAAACAACCTTCCTTCTACAACGAAGGAATCTGTATACAATTAAAACAAAAAACCTTATCATAAAAAATTCATGGCCCTTGAAAATTAAATTCAGACCTAGGCCCTACCTAATTGGTGGTGCACGCACGTTTATTTTTTGTGTGGATTTTTGGTGTGCAAAAAGTCGCAGCCAACTCGATTAGGTGTGCATGATCGATAGTAATTATATCCACATTGCTGTGGTGTGGAAAATGACAACGTAGTGAGCGCTGCATGTGCGGTATAGACTGGAGACTATGCTGACCTCATAATCACATATCGAACCGAGTGAGAAGAGAGGCTGTGTTCAGACTAGCTCTGCTACTATGATTGAGGGCGCTATACATGAAGTGTTAAACTTGCACAATCTTCACTATCACGGATGATGGACTGCTTCGTTTTGCATTTTAATTAAAAGGGGCTTTCTTCATCTTGTAGATTTTTATTTGTAGTAAAATGTATCATTCACGAAATTTTAACGTTATGGGTTAGGCTTATTACTAGTCGTTGAGGATGGTTGTCCAGTGAATTTACAAAATTGACAAAAAACGGAACCACGTTAGGCTGAAAGGCCAGTCTACCTTAGTTTGACAAGCGGTGCTTATGTTGTCAAATTGGCGTCATTATCATCGAAGCGAAAGTTGCAATCGCAGGCAAACTTACTGACTTTTTTCCAGAAGAAACAGAGAGGTTTTGAAAGTACCTGAGGAACCATTTATCACCTAAATTAAGTTTATTATTATATTCAAAATACATGAAAACAATACATTGGTAAATTCTACAAAATCAATGACAAGATTGATAGGCTGCATGGTAATTCCTCCATGGTTATATATTGCACGTGGGTTTCCCACGTACATGGTGGGTTTAATTTTAAATGAGGTTTTCGAGCAAGTTGTTATGCCGTTGTGTTATTATGCCCATAACTTGCACATCCATAGGCCCGCCTCAGGGGTTTTTTCCCAGATATATTTCACTGCTTCTTGTTGCATTTCAGATAATTTAACTTTGTTAATGAGAATTTAAGGGGTTTGTGTTGCATCAACAAATATGCATGCGGTGTACATTTCTATGACTGTAAAAAATAGTCTGATTATAAGGGAGGTGGGCTGTTTTTTCCCACATTTTCCGTCGATATGAATTATTAACATTTTTTCTCTTGCAGAATACAATGATTACATGCACATTTATAATCAACTGGGAAACCTCTTGTCCTTGTCCATTTTTTAGAAAAAAAATTATATGACAATTAATTTTATTCCAGCAGTAAGATAAATGGGTTGACCACCCGCAGGGAAACCCCAGGCCAATTTTTTTTAAACTTCTGTAAATGAATCAATTAGTTTCAAACAACATGTAAGGAATGCAACTTACACATTTTGTGTCATTTGATGATTTCACTTGCAATATAGCTCTTTTTTTTAAACAGATTGGCCCCAGTAAACGAAACGAAATATTAATTGAGATGTTTTT